GACTGCGCCACCCAGGCGCCCCTTTAATATTTATTTTTGAGAGACAGAGTGAGTGGGGAGGGGCAGAGAAAGAGAGAGACACAAAATCTGAAGCAGGCTCCAAGCTCTGACCTGTCGGCACAGAGTCCAATGTAGGGCTCGAACCCACAAACTGCAAGATCGTGACCTGAGCCAAAGTCGGATGCTTAACTGACTGAGCCACCCAGGTGCCCCCAAAGTGCATCTTCTTATAAGTCAGTCTGAATTTACCAAAGAATTAGTTACAGTTGTGATCACTGACCCAGATTTTTGAGAAGCTACGGAGCATGCTCATTTTTCATGGTGTCTTCCCCTCTCCCAAAGAAATATTTGTAACCCACTTTTCTATGTTAAACATATACCACGGCTACCACATAAATAAGCACTTTCCAAAATTTGAGGACACGCAATTTGGAGAAGTTCACCTGCCACCTGGGTCTCATCTAGGCTGCGTGGAGCTAAGCAAATTAATGGCAAATTGGATGTTAGAGCCAAGTTTACTATGCTTTCACTAGCAAAGAAAAATGATTCCAACCAATCTTACTACCCAGAAACAACCTGCTTAAAAACAGAAGGGCTTGGTTTCATTAAAAACTTCAAGGGGGGTGCCTGGGTGGCTCAGTTAGTTAAGCGGTTAAGCATCTGACTCTTGATTTCAGCTCAGGTCATGATCTCACGGTTCGTGAGTTTGAGCCCTGCATCAGGCTCTGTGTTGGCAGTGCAGAGCCTGCTTGGGATTCTCTCTCTCTCTCCCTTTCTCTCTTTCAAAATAAATAAATAAACTTAAAAAAAAAAAGAAGAAGAACTTCAAGATACCTATCCTTGAAAGTTAAAAATAGAAGTATTTAAAATGTTCTGCTTGATGTTTTTTCTCGCAAGATGAATGGGACACAGGGCTGGATGGCACACCTGCTTCAGAAACCCATGGAAGAGGAAGGAAAGTTCCTCCTTGCACTGAGCACGGCAAGGGCATTTTTGTGGGGAATGAGAGAGAAAGAGAACTGGGACAAATGTTACCCTGCATCCGAGATTTAGAGTATTAAACACAGTGCTTAATGTGTACAAAACATTGTCATAAAAAACACTGAGTTTATTTTTTTTTTAAGTTTATTTATTTATTTTCAGAGACACAGAGCGTGAACAGGGAAGGGGCAGAGAGAGGCAAGAGAGAATCCTGAGCAGGCTCCATGCTGCCAGCACAGAGCCTGATGTGAGGCTCCAACTCATGAACCATGAGATCATGGCCTGAGCAGAAATCAAGAGTCGGATGCTTAACCGACTGAGCCACCCAGGTGCCCTAAGTTTATCTTTGTACAAAATACCCTTGTGAGATATGAAAGGATATGAAAATCCCTGTGATTTTCCCATATAATTTCTCGTGTCAACTTTCCTGGGCGAAGGGATGCCCAGAGAGCTGGTTAGGTACTGTTTCCCAGTGTGCCTGTGAGGGGGTTTCTGGAAGAGACTAGCACTTGAATGAGTCCACTGAGTGAAGGAGATTGCCCTCACCACTGCAGACGGGCCTCATCCAATCTGTTGAGGGCCAGAATAGGAAAAAAAAGGCAGAGGAAGGGCAAATCTTCCCCTCGGCTCCAGCTGGAACCTCTGTCTTCTCAGCACTCAGACCTTTAGACTTAGACTAGAAATTACAGCACTGACTCCCCTGGTCCCCACTAGCACTACCACCAGCTTTCCCGCACCTCTAGCTTGCAGACAGCAAGATCCTGGGACCTCCCAATGTCCACAATCACGTGAGCCAAAACTGCACAATAAATTTTTTTCTAGATATCTATGTAGAGATACACACATAGAGATACACAGAGATAGAAAGAGATAGAGAACTAATCCTAGTGGTCCTGTTTCTCCAGAGAACCCTAATACAATCTCCATATGACAAATGAAATTACTTAAAGTCAGAGGGGCCAGGTGGCTGGTCTCTGGCCAGCACGTGAGTGGAGAAGCAGGATTCAAACTTTCTGACTCGATTCCAGTGCTTCTCCACTTAACATGAGATGGGAGGGATGGCCTGACCACAGCATCATCTGTGCAAAGTTCAGCACAGTTCTCACGGACACACTTTCTGGTGGACACACTGTCTGGTGAATGTCCACCAGACAGGCTACATTGTGCTGTGTGGACAAACGACCTCAAAATCTCAGTGGCTTAAAACAGCAAAGGTTCATCATGCCATCACAGATAATGAGGGTCCTGGCTGAATCTCCAAATCCAGGTCTGCTCATGCCAGGACTGACAGACCAGCCGCCATCTTGAACATCGCCAGTAGCCACATACAACTCGTTGCACAGAACGGGTCACAAGGTGCTCCCCAATAAAGGGACCAGAAAGTGCTTCCCATGGTGGGTGGAGGCGCTGGAAATATTGGCAATTAGCTGTCACAGCCACCACGGTGCTTATCATTGTGCCGGACGCTGTATTAAGCGCCTCATGTTAGGTATACTTAGCATTTTTAATACCCTCGAGGTAAACACTACCATCATCCCCATTTTGCAGGTGAGAAACTGAGTCTTAGAAAGTTAAGCACCTTTCACAAGGCCAGGCCAGTTCTGTCAGATTGAAAGTCCTTGCTCTTAACAAGAAATCATTTATAGTAGATGCCATAGCGATCGCCAGTCGGAAAGAAGGTAGACTCTTTGCCAAACAGCACGCGGGCCTGGGAGTGAGGTAAAGACAGGGTGAAATGAGGCTGCTCCTCTACCATGACCACAGTGTCACCTGCAGGTAGCAGGTGAACAGGTAGTGAGTAGCTCACACTTCCCTTCCTGTGCTCAGCCCTCCAGATCTTGATTCCACCGCAGGCAAACACCAGAGGCTGAGGGTCAGTACTGGCTCCCAAAACAAGGGATATGGAAGCTTCTAGAAATGGCAGGCCCAAAATGCCAACTGCCAGGAATAGCTGTGCATTCATTCACAAACATCTATTGAATGTAACTGGAGTGGGGCCCAGGGAACTCAGACCTGCTTGAAGGTGTTTGATGAAATGGAATAACACTTAGGCTAACAGAATTCAAGATTACCAGCTGATTTGCATGGATCATTTTGGGAAGAACGGTAGGTAAAAGGCCACAGGGGAGACAGATGAGTAAAACAAAGGGAGAATTCAGAATGGCTAACACTTCTTAAGAATTCACTATGGGCCAGGCCTAGTCTAAGTGCTTGTAATTACATGAATTACACATTGAATGCTCGCTAGTCATAATGTTCTGAGCTTGGTACACTTATTATTTTACAAAAGAGGGATGTGGGTAGAGAGGGATCCGGTCTTCAGCTAGGAAGTGGAAAAGCCAAGGCTCACCCCGATCTAGCATCAGGGGCCACTTTTACCCATTATGCTAGGCTGGACCCTTCTACTCAACAATTAATCGCTGCAAAATGGGCTTCACAGACTTGGTTTTCGGAGCTTCTATGAAGTGAGGGGTTATACGAAGTAAAGGAAGGAGCTCTTTCCAGGAAGGGCTCCCTGAGACCCCGGGAAAGGGTGAGGTTTGGGGGAGGAGGTCGCATGGTTCAGGTCTCCCAGAAAACACCTTCTCTCCCTTTGGACACCAGCACCATCCCGACACCTCAAGGGCTGGCTGCCAGAGGGCAAAGAGACAGGGACCCCAGCATGAGGCTTGGTTTTCTTGGGGGGAGCCCTGCAGGGGCAGCTGGGAGGTACCCACGTCAGTAAGCGCAAACCAGAAGAGCCTCTACGTGGTGGCCACAGCCAACAGACAGAGGTGCACAGGTAACACTGCTCAGGGTCTCCCGCAGGCACCTGGGGCAGGTGAGGACTTTCTAGGAGGCTGGTGGGAAACAGAACTGATACGACCTAACCTAGCCAGAGAACGTTCTGTGTACACGAGAAATAAATGGAATAACGTATATGAAGCGGCTGGCACAGTGAAAGCACTAAATAATAGTGGTGGTTACGATGGCCAGGGGCAACAAGATGTGACAATGCTCTGGCCGCACTAAAACAGCATTTCCCAGCTTTCTGGGTCTCCCCCCTAACCGCCCTTTCCCTTTTCAGCCCCACTGATATGCACGTATGCACACACACATGTACACGCATATGTTCACCCACATACAAAGAGTATATAAGACCAAACAATCCTCAGCTCTAGTAGCAAAAAGGGAAAAGACGTTACTGGACCACAGCCCAGGGTACAAAGCCTGCCTCTAGACTAGCCAATTTTTGGTAGGAGTAACTTATGTTACAAATTGAATACAATACTTACAAACTGAATACAATATGTAAACAGAGTATTAATTTCAAAGGAAAGAAGCATCCACATATACGTGTGGCTAAGAGACTAGTTTGCCCCAAAATAATTGATAAGACATTGGGACAAAATATATCAAAAGATAGCCCTTTACCAAAAAATATCATAGCAGACTCAAGTCCTACAGCCTTCGCTTTGGCATCTTTTTTCTCCTTGTAGGATATGCTTTACTTCCCATGCTCAAGCTACCTGGAAGTGAATTGTTGCAATTACAATTCCTGGCGCCTCTGGTAAAGATGTATTCACATCCTGGTTGTTGTTGTTGTCTTTGTTTTCCTGACAATAGTGAATATTGCCAGCAGTGCTTTCTTTAGGGGCTCACAGTGCAGAGAAGGGCTACAGCATATACCCAGAATTTTAACAGCCACACCATGGCCTTGTCCCTGCACCTCCAAGAGTGTTACTGTTCTACAGGAAAATGGAGAGACTAAGTGTGTTGCAAACCATCAGAGACCAAGTGAGCAGAAGAACTGACATCACACCTAAGAGCATCCTCACTCCCCACCCCCCTTCGCTACATTATGTAACTTAAGAGGTGGTGGGAATGACGACAATGTAGGAGGGAAACAATCTTTTAAAAAAGAAAGTGAAAGAGGACATAGTAAACCCGAAAGGAAATTTGCACAGAGCTTAGAATCTTTGCAGAGGCTGTGATGTAAGGTTTTTGAAGTCCACGAACCTGAAGTTCTCTGTGTGGCTAGAGGGCTCTGCTTCTAGGTCAAGAGTCTGTGATTGCCATTGTTTCTCAGATTCAGACCTCAATCCTTTCAGAAGGGGATAAGAATTTGATTTCAGGGGCGACAGCGTAGCTCAGTTGGTTAAGCATCCAGCTCTTGCTTTCGTCTCAAGTCATGATCTCATGGTTTGTGAGACTGAGCCCCACATTGGGCTCTGCATTGACAGCACAGAGGTTGTTTGGGACTCTCTCTCTCTCTGCCCCTCCCCACTTGCACAAGTGCACGCATGCTCTCTGTCTCTCTCAAAATAAATAAACTTTAAAAAAAAAAAGAATTTGATTTCAGAATTAGGGCAGAAACTGCTAATGCCTATCCAATAACCATCTCCCTCATCTTTGTTAGTAACAGATGCCCACCTTAGTTTAGGGTAGCAACACACTCCATTGAAAACTCTGTTCCCCATCTTTTCTCATATCTAACTGTGGCCAAATGACGTTTTAGAGACAGAGTGGAAATGTTGGTGAAAACCTGGGAAAGCTCCTTAAAAGGAAATGCAAACCCTTCTTTTCATCCTTCCTATTGCCCAAAATGCGATGGCTGGAGCTCCAGCAGCCATGCTGCTTCCAGCAGTCATGCACATGAGATGACCCTGAGAATGCAAGCTAATGTGTGGATCAGGGACATAGAAGGAAGAGGGTCCCAGATGACTTTGTGGAGCCAACAGGGCAGCCCTGAACTGCCTACTTTCAGAAAGCTCTCATGTGAGAGAATAAACCCTGGGATGTAAGCCATTGAAGTCAGGTCTCAGTTACTCACAACCAGGTACAAGTATTAATTTATATGACCATGTATACCCATGTTTACAGATTCATTCCTACTTGAGAAATGCTAGCTGCAAGCTTTCCCTTGAATGCAAACTTCCCTTTTCCGAACTAGCAGGTACTTACACAGATTTAAGCCCTTAACCAAGAAGCTTGTGCTCCACAGCACTCCGCAGGGACTGGTGCCTGAAGTACAGGAGGCCACTGGGCTTCTCCTGGACCCACTGTCTGCTGGCATTGCGGAGGGCAGCCCAGTGCAACATGGTCACTTTGTAGTGATCCCTGTAGCCCAGCATGCCCAAAAGCTGGAATATCTCATCCTCGGCCAATCCACAATGTGAGATGCTCAAAAAAGCACAGAGTGTCGGCCACCCAGCCATCCGGTGCTGTACAGATAACACAATGACAGCAATGACAAAAAGAACCGTTCACATCTGCCAGGCATCATTCTAAATGGCTAAATGTCGTGTATGACTATACAACTTGTTTCCTTTAATCATCCTATAGGCAGATACTATATAACTTCCCCTGTCTTACAAATAAGAAATTTAAGCCCAGAGATGTTAAATAACTTAGCCAGTCACACAGGAGTAAGTGCAGAACTGGGATTTGAGCATAGACTGCCTGGCTTTGGAGCCCACACTTTCAGGCATTAAATTATCATCCACTTTGTCCCAACTAATACGTCCATGTTAGCTATGGTTATAAGCTGGAAAGCTTGCCAATTATCATACTGCTGAGCAGTCTATTAATACTTTCAAATATCAAGTTTGCATCGATGGGTCTGAATGGTTTTTTGGTATGATTGCTATCTTGCCACAGACACCACTGGAGCCAGCTCTATGTTACTCACTTTTTCAGCCAGAGCTGGATTCCCGCTGGCTTTATGACCAGCTCTAAAGAGATCCTTAAGACCACTGAGAGAAAGAACAAAGTCTACCGTTCTAAATGGACTTCTTGTGCCAGGACTGGGGAATGAACCTCAAACACCTGTAATCTTTACGCAGAGGGAGCTGCTCAGCCCCAGCTGTACAAGCTCCTTCTGAAGTTGACCCCAGGTTTACCAAGTTCTTCCTGTACCTGTGGCTGAGTGCCTTGGGCCTGAGGAGGGGTCAGTGGGCAGGAGGAGGAAAGTCAGCTGGGGAGAGGAGGGCCTGGGCTTTCCCGCACAGTCCCAGACAAGCAGGAATACCCCTGGGCACAGCCATGGGCCACCTTGCCTGCGTGACTCTTCTCAGGGCACAGAGACCTTTCTTTCACTTCCTTGCAGGTGAGGGAGAGCACGCTAAATTTGCAATTCATTTTATTTGCAGAAATGCAAAGTCTAGAGCAAAAAAAAAATGGGGCAGGACAATATGTGGTCACACCAACCAACGTGTCTTTCATTGCAAGTATTTTGTGCTTCTTTCCCCACCCCCACATCCCCCTTCCTGCTCCATTCCAAATTCATCAAACTTAAGAGAAGGTTATTATGGTAGAAACTGAAGTTTCAAAAGCCTTTTGAAGCTCCTAGCAGAGATAATGGCTTTGAGAACAAACTTTGCTTCTCAAAAGACTGTGGAATATCAAAAGACAAAAATGCCTGACCAACTCATGGAATACGTCTTTTAACCACAAACAACAGACTCAGTTACAGGGTGAGCTAAAGAGGACTGAACCAAGCAAGGTGGAGGAGACAGTGCGAGAAGAGAGCAACAGAGTTGCTCAGGTGGGCCTGTGCTGTTCCCTGAACCCAAGCTGTGAGCAGCGACAGGGGCCAACTGGATGCACCTGGGGACCCAATAGTACAGACAGCCTGTGCTGTGCCTCCCATTGGGAGCCTACAAGGCCAGTGCCTGTAGATCTTCTGATGCCCCCAGAACCAGAGAGCAGAAACCACTATAGGGACACCTACAGAGCCAGATCTCTGAAGGTGCAGTGAGCAACCAACATTCTCTGTCGGGAATGTTGAGTACCCACAAGACTATGGGCTCCAGGAGAGTGCAGATGTTAGTGGAGGAGAGGGGCCTCCTCACATTAGAGTGAAGGAAAATGGCAGCAGATGGCAGCATAGATCGAACAACCCAAGAACAGATGGGAACACAGCCATCCTAGAGGATGCCAGCATTGGAGGAAGTCAGTATCTGTGGACCATCCGGGGCCATGACCACCTCAGTGGAAGCCAGCAGGGACAGATGACAACCAAGGACATCCAGCACCAAGACCCTCAGATTTAAGCTCAATCCAAAAGAAACACACACAGGAAGGACACAAATCCTCTCTTGACTGAAAACACCCTGAATTGTACCAAAAAAAAAAAAAAAAGCTCAATTGATGGATTTAACCTAGATGAACTGAATTAGGTTTCTGCCGTCACTTGAACTATAGGCTCAAAAGAGTTGAGTTATAGAAATAATAAAGGCCCATTTCTTAGATTCCTGAAAAATTGTCTAATATGGTTCCCTTTACAGTCAGCACAGAGCTCCCTAGACAGGGTTGTTGGATTTAGCAAATAAAAACGCAGAGTAACTAGTTAAATTTTAATTTTAGATAAACAAAAAATCAATTTTGGGTATAAGTATGTCCCATGCAATAATCTGGGATATACTTGTAATGAAATTATTTATTTGTAATTCAACTAATTTTTAGTATAAGTGTGTCCCATGCAATAATTGAGACATACTTTTACTAAAGGACTGTTCTTTGTCTGAAATTACAATTTAACTGGGCATCTTGTATTTTCTCTGACAACCCCATCCTTGGACCCTCCTCCTCTGGGTGGTCCACCATACATCTTTCTCCCTGTGGACTCTAGCAGGTTGTCAACACTGGCCAAGGCCTACCTTCTCCTAAAGCCACCGTGTCTGAATTTGCCTTTTTTGGCGTAAAAGTCCAGCTATAGTCCTCAATCCAGCGTTTCAGAATCAATTCCCAGAGCTCCTGAACAGACACCACCTCCAAGTACTCCTTCAGACACTGATACTCATCTCGGTAGATTCTACATTCTCTGAGTTCATTCGCTAGGATCGTGAGTTTTAAAGGATTCGGGTTTGTTTTTTTCCTCAAAGTGGATTGGCTCTGTTGGAGGGGGTCTTTGTTGGGAATGGAGAGATGCTGTCTAAAGATGTTTAGTTTCACTTCTTTGTCTCCTATGCTAATGAAGTCCACTGTCCTCACATCTGGGCGAGCACATAGCAACTTGTAGGACAGGCTGGAGGAGACAGTGCTCATGATGAATTTGCAATGAGGAGGCAGCGAGCATGGCAGCCAAGAAAAATCTTTTGCCTGGTGGAGAAAGTCAAAGATATTTGAAAACTTTAAAGACTTTAAAACTACTTTACTGATGGTTTTTAAACTTAGAGCAGCTAGAATATAGGGAGTAAATAGAGGGTTAAGGGCTGGGGTGAAGGTTATTAGCGATAAGGTGGATAGTAAGCAATATGGTGATGATACCAATTCACACTCTACAGAACTATATTCACTGACTTACCCATCTGTTATGAATTTGATAGTACAAAGGTAACCTCTAAAAAGAGGTTTGTACGGGGCACCTGGGTGGCTCAATCACTTAAGTGACTCTTGATTTCAGCTCAGATTACGAACTCACAGTTCATGGGATCGAATCCCACATCGGGCTCTGTGCTGACAGTGCGGAGCCTGCTTGGGATTCTCTCTCTCTCTCTCTCTCTCTCTCTCTCTCTCTCTCTCTCTGCCTCTCCCTGCTCTCTCTCTCTCTCAAAATAAATAGATAAACAGTTAAAATAAAAAATAAAAAAACATTCCTACAAGCAAGTAATCTGACAAATCTTAGGCTTCTAAAGAATGACCTATAGTGACGATCAAGGGAAATCTTAGAGTGCAAACTGAACCATTCAATTGAAAAACAGAACATTGTTTTATGATGAAGAATCTTGCTTTGTACAGCAATACTATCATAAATTAAATGGCTTTATTTGGGGATAAGATAAACACCTAATCAGATCTTTCTAGATTCCTTTAGCAGCCTTTCCTACCCCTCTTTGACTAATAATCGCAAATATAATAATAATAATAATAATAATAACAACAGTAACTACCAAACAGTGAGTGCTTACTCTGAGCCAGGCACTGAGTTGAATGTGTCTTCAGGTACTGTTAGGGATTTTTATTTTTATTTTTTTATTTTTTGATACTGTGACATTTCTCTGGGGCCTTAGAGATTCAGGAGAGACTGTTTTTCCCAAGGCAAGCTAAGTCCCGGGGGTGGTGGCAGCTTGCCTGGAACATGCCTGTCATGTGCAGACCCACAGATCCAAGAACACACCCCCACCTACCTTCTTATCTGACTCGAATTCACCAAGCCAATGTTTCCCTGCCCCACATCATCATCCTGGGGCTAGGACCAGACAACTAGGGACAACGATGCCACAAAGCCTGCTGAAATTACACAAACTAGCCAATCCTAAATGGCTTCCTCTACCTTTCCCATGGGAACCCCAATGAAGGCTTTGGCGTTGGCCTTCTCCTGGCTCCAGTCTTCTGCCTCCTGACCACCCTGATACTTCCCCTGGGGCCCCGAGTGGCATGGCACATCTCCTTCTCTCAGGAAATGTAAGTAATCGCTTCCTTCAATGCCATTGGCATCTCCGTGCCATCACTCGGTCATCCTCCTATATATCAAAGCCCAGCACTTGTCACAGTTTGCAATCTTGTCCTTATTTGTGTAATAGCATCATTAACATCAGCCATCCCCTGTTAGAATGAAAGCTCCGTTTCTCTGCAGGGACCATGTCTGACTCTGCTTGTAGTGCTTTTGCTATAGTGAGTGGTCAAGAACTATTTGCTGAATTTGTGGTGGTTGCCATGCATTAAATTAAAAAGATTATAAAACAATATGGTGTGTAATTTCATTTACGTAAGCGTCAAGGAGTGTACATAGACATCCATAGAAGAAGGAAGGCTATACTCCAAAACATTGAAGAGCAGTGAGACTGTGAGCATACCTAATTTTCTGTTTTCTTTTTCTTCATCATATTTTATATCAGAAACATATATTACTTACCTAATTTATAATTACATGTGTTTTTAAGTTTTAGAGAAAATTCTTCACAAGGTTCCAGTGATCCAATATCAGCTCAAACAGAAGAAAAACTAAGGAGGGGCACCTGGGTGGCTCAGTCAGTTAAGCGTCCAACTTCGGCTCAGGTCATGATCTCATGGTTCATGAGTTTGAGCCCCGCGTTGGGCTCTGTGCTGACAGCTGAGAGCCTGGAGCTTGCTTCGGATTCTCCCGCTCTCTCTGTCCTTCCCCCATTCACACTCTGTCTCCCTCTCCTTCAAAAATAATCGTTAAAAAAAAAAAGATAAGAAAAACTAAGGAAAGCAACCAATCGATGGGATTTGATATGTGCATAATCAGTATAGATGAGGCAGGTCATAATATACAACATAAAGAAAATACTAGGAGTCCAATAAATGCCTGATCAATGTATAAAATGGGGGGGGGGGGTGCAGAATCAGGCAGAAGTAAAGGTCACAGTTTCCAGAACCAGACTGTCCATGTCTGAATTCTGAGTCTAACACAATCTTAGGATGTTGGACAAGCCACCTAACACCTCCATGCTCAGTCCCCTCTGTATAAACAGGGATGATGATCACAGTGTCTCTTTCATAGGGTTGTTCTGAGAATTAAATGCGTTAATATTTATAAAGTGCCTAGAAAGGTGCCTGACCCGTTGTAAGTGTCACAGAAGTATTTGTTCAATAAAACATACAGTAGTAGCTATAAGCGATGCTGGCTATAGCTATAGATATGCAATGCAATGGAAAGGTGTTACAGGGGCGTCTGGGAGGCTCAGTCAGTTGGACATCTGACTTCAGCTCAAGTCATGATCTCGTGGTCATGAGTTCAAGCCCTGTGTCAGGCTCTGCACGGACAGCTCAGAGCCTGGAGCCTGCTTTCTTCCCTCTCTCTCTCTCTCTCTGCCCCTCCTCCGTGCTTGTTCTCTCACTCACTCTCTCTCTCTCTCTCTCTCTCAAAAATAAACATTGAAAAAATTAAATAAAAAGAAAGATGTTACATACCTTCTAAATTATGGAGTTTTCTTTTTACAAAACAGTAATAAAATAGGTATTATTTTAAAAAGAGATTATCTTCTGTCCTAAAATCCCATAAATGCCAATCAATTCTTCAATTCCATCTAGGACAAGTATACATGGCTTTAAATTGATGGAAGCAATGAAAACTTCCACAAGAAGTGAAAAGACCAAGACATTTGAGCCTTCGTTAAGAACATCAGTTTCAAGCTGAGTACCTAGAGCATAGGAATTTGTTCAAATTAGGCAAAAATGTTTCCATCATTGCTAGAATATGTTAATGGGATGGGGAGGCGGAAGGGGTTGGGAACAATGAGTGCTATTCACAGCTGTACAGCTGACACATATAGGTATATGTGTGATTAGCAGCCTAAAAATATTCAACCCAAAAGGGATAATGATATTTACCACCAGATGTCTCCTATACATTTTCAGGATTTTATATAAAAAATATTTTGTATGATCCAAAGCATTACTCTCATCTTCCAAAATGCAAAAATAGTTCATGTTACAAAGAGCTGGAAGGGAAGAAAGAGAAGCCAGTCTATGCAGTCTGCGAAGTTTATGCAGCTCTGTAACGTCAGGTGGCTGTTTAGGGGCCACGGCTACCACCTGGGTGGTCCAGCAGGGGCACACATGCATCATCCCCCACCACTGCCTGGTCTCTTCAGTTCTCGCCCACATCAAATCTGACATAACCAATCCTAAATTACTCTATCCGCAATATTGGACCCCAGACCTTCGAATCTGTAAATTACCAGGGAAAATCAGGCTATAAACCAGAAAGGGCAAAGGATGTGATTTGAGAGGACCAACTTGCAAACTCTGATTGCGTGACACAGCAGAGAGCAACCCAAAATTGTAATCAACTGCTTAATACTTTAAGAGCATTTTACTACATACAACTTTGGTCTTGCTTTTATTTTTCAAAGGCCATGTTTCCCATAGAAATTTAGGCACATTAGAATCTAGAAAATCAAGTTATGCAAAGAAGCTTTTAATGGATTTACATCTCTCAGGTGCATTAAGATTCTGTTAGAAGCATATTGAATAACTATGTTTAACAATACTTATTGGTTGCCTGTTACGTGCAAGGTTCTGTGCTCAATGTTAAAAGGAGATAAAAATGATCTATAAATAAAGTCAAGGAGTTAAGGGAAGTGAAAATGGGTTCAGTACACACACACACAAAAAACACATTTCAAGGTAGAATATGAGTCTGAAGAGTACTGGAGTGTGATGCAGAACCATCACAATGAAGACAAGCTTCATGCAGAAGACATGTGAGATGAGCTTCGGGGAATGCACAGGTAGAGATGAGGGCAAAGGGATATCAAGCAAGACAAAGCAAAGGTAAAGGTCTGGAGGTAGGAAGACACATGAGCATTCAAAAAAACAGGAAGCTGATTAGAGCAGTGCAACTCAACAGGGGTGCTCTAGGAATTCGAGATGTCCTAGAACACAGGACAGTCACACACAATGCAGCTGTGTCCTGGGGTCTACCTGCTTTCACATGTTCTGCCAGACAGTCACTTGGGGGGGAGGGGGAGGGGGTAACCTTATTAATGACCTCACCTAGAAACCAACTCCATTTTCATGTAAATGCAAAGTAATTTTTGCACAGATTCAAAACACATTGAATTTCCTAGGAATACAACTACCATAGAAAGTGATGGAAGATTATATGTTGTTTCTTCTGAAATGATACCAAGATTTCAGAAAATCACGACCCTGATGGGAACACTGCTCATGATGTTGGAGCCTTGACTACAACACATCCATGGATGTCTGCACTAGCAGCTTTCGAAAGCATGGTCATTTTCCATGACCTGCCTACTCCACTATGGCTTCTACCGGAATCATGTCTGAGCATTTACATATTGGAATGCATATTATTTTGCAATAAATTACTTTACTTTTCTCTTTTACGTTATACTAGAGGGTTACATCAGGTTTTTTTATTGAGGTATAAATCACAAATGATACTACATTAGTTTCAGGTGTACAACATAATGATTCAATATTTGTATACATAAAATGATCACCACTGTAAGTCTAGTTACCATCTATCACTGCACGGATACAAAAACACTTTTTTTCTTGTGACCAGACCTTTTAAGATGTACTCTTACGGGGGTGCCTAAGTGGCTCAGTTGGTTAAGCTTCCAACTTCGGCTCAGGTCATGATCTCGTGGTTTCTGAGTTCTAGCTCTACAGGGGGCTCTGTACTGACAGTGTGGAACCTGCTTTGCATTCTGTCTCCCTCGCTTTCTGCCCCTCCCCCACTTGCATGCACTCACTCTCTCTCACTCTCTCTCTCTCAAAAATAAACATTCAAAACAACATGTCTTTTAGCCACTTTCAAAATATGCAAAACAGTATTATTAACTATAGTCACCATGCTATACATGGCAGCCCCAGGACTTACTTATTTTATAAATGGATATATTGATTTTTAAAGATATTTTGGTATCAGAAAATGACTATAAAATCAATGACTTGAAGATTATATATGAATGCAAGACATAAAGGAGAAGAAAGAATCAAAACAAGATAGTCTGAGCTTGGATCACACAATTAAAAGTATTTTTCAAGAACAGGAAGAGAACAATCTTGGTGCTTCATCCTTGGAGGGTTTTATCCGCACCCCCCCCCCCAAATCTTTAAAGTATTGAGATTTCAGACCTTGACTAAGTGAATTTTAGAGAAGGAGGGGTTCTGGAGATCATGTCGTCTAGTCCAAACCCTCATCTTGTAAGTGAGGAAACAGGCCCAGCAAGGTGAAAAGGCTTGAACACAGGTCATCAGGAGCTTTACAAACACTGATTTTGCTAATAGTTTTCCTGCCAGCAACACATCCTCACTCAACGGTTGCTCCATCTGCGTTTCCAAGCCGCAAAGGTCACCGCTGGTGGATTCCGTTCACCAGCAGCCACATGCAGGAGGCACGGACTGTTGACCTTTTGTGTGAAGCTGGTACAGAGGCTATGTGACAAAACGGAGGTGAATGAACCTCAGAAAATACACGCAGCCTGACAATCATAAAACATAATATCACTCATAATAATCAGCAGAAAAATAATCCCAGGCAAAAAAAAAAAAAGGAAAAAAAACCTCAAGGAAGATACAGATCTATATCTAAGTATGCAAAGGAAAGCATCGTTTCAGTGTTTTTTAAAATCCTATTTGGGGGGCGCCTGGGTGGCGCAGTCGGTTAAGCGTCCGACTTCAGCCAGGTCACGATCTCGCGGTCCGTGAGTTCGAGCCCCGCGTCAGGCTCTGGGCTGATGGCTCAGAGCCTGGAGCCTGTTTCTGATTCTGTGTCTCCCTCTCTCTCTGCCCTCCCCCGTTCATGCTCTCTCTCTCTCTGTCCCAAAAATAAATTAAAAAAAAATAAAAATAAAAAAAAAAATAAAATCCTATTTGGGATGATTAGAATTATTTTTCCTCAAAATAATATTGAAGATAGGCAGAATTACTAGTATTGGAAAACGATCCTAAACCTATCTCTTTATTCTGTTAGAACCAAACTGTCTCTCCTGGATGACAATGGCCTATTGTCTAATTTAAATTTTTTTAATGTTTTATTTATTTATTTATTTAAAAAAAATTTTTTTTTAACATTTATTTATTTTTGAGACAGAGAGAGACAGAGCATGAACAGGGGAGGGGCAGAGAGAGAGGGAGACACAGAATCTGAAACAGGCTCCAGGCTCTGAGCTGTCAGCACAGAGCCCGACGTGGGGCTCGAATTCATGGACCGTGAGATCGTGACCTGAGCCAAAGTCGGACGCTTAACCGACCAAGCCACCCAGGCGCCCCTTTTTATTTATTTTTGAGACAGACAGAGACAGAGTATGAGAGGGAGATGGGCAGAGAGAGACAGAGACACAGAATCTGAAGCAGACTCCAGGCTCTGAGCTGTCATAGAGCCCGATGCAGGGCTCGAACTCATGAACCACAAGATCATGACTTGAGCCGAAGTCAGTTGTTTAATCGACTGGGCCACCCAGGCGCCACCTTTTTCTTTTTTTTTCAATGTTTTATTTATTTTTG